GTTCATTTTCCCATCTGGAGCCAATTTTCAAAAAGAAAAGGCATTCTACTAGCAAAATATCTTGAGGTTTCCCATTGACACAGGGTGCTCCTTGAATAAAAAGTACCTGATATACATAAAGTGGCAACCGAAGGGCAGCTTGAGTGCAAAAGCTGAACAATAATGCAGAAGCAGTGTCTGAAAAAACAGTGTCCAAAGATGAACCCTGAAAATGCTGACTACCAAGTCCAGGAAACAGCATAGAGAATAAGCACTGAGTGCAAGCTGCCTGAATGAAATCAATAACACCCCTGGGTCCATAGAACTGTAAGCAACAGCAATTGGTTGCTGGCCCTTTTAAAATGCTCCTTTAAAAAGTCCCAGCATCAATGCCACTCAAATGATACCACAACCTTTTAGTTAAAGGAGGCACCTATAACCCATGTCGTGGCCATGCCATTTAGGGATCTATTTAGATGAGATGTCCTACATAAAAATATAAAAATATGCAGGAAGAAACTTGATAATTCTCTAAAAGAATCTGAAATAAAATCATAGTCTGTATCCATTTGGTGACAAAATCATAATGTTTTGGTCATTATGGCACTTTGTTATCTGAAGGGCAAAAAAACTGTTTTAGAGAAATTGCAGAACTCTCTCATTTCTTCACAGTAAAGTTAAAAATAAAGACTATGCTAAAGCCAATAGTATTTTGTTTTCATTCTGAAAGGAGGTTACTCCATACAAAGAAGTTAAAAGAATATACCGTGGTCACAATGGTACTCAAACATCTTAATAAGGAACGGGGCTCATGAGAAGAAACTCTCCATTCTCAGTCTCTTTATGTTCCCCAATTAACCAGACTCTTCCCTAAGCAACTGGAATGTTTGCTTATGGATGCCAAATTTCATTTTGTGCCACTGAATATAATTTAAATCATCCATACTTATATAACATGCCCACCACTACCATCAAGACTATAAGCTCTTGGAGGACAGGAACTATTTCTCATCTACTCTCTATAAACTGCATAGTGGCTCCAATGCCATATTGTCTGCAAAGCCTTCTGTGGTGATGTATGCTCAGCAGAAGGTATTCACCTTTAATACCCTGCTGCATCGAGTACCAGCACTACCCATTTATTTCACAATTTTAGCACATGCTCAGTCCTCTAAATATTTCAAGCCCTTGATAAATTAAAAGCAGCGATTTCTCACAAAACAGCAGGAACCCATGTCCTAAATAATCAAGAACTAAAAACTAGCCCCGAATAGACACATATTATATCAAGCTAAATTGCAGTATGGCCATTTTTCTAGTGCAATTATCTATGGCTTTAATATACAATGAATCATTAGGGTCCTGAATTTCTTCTGGCAAATAAGTACAGTGTGAACTGAATGCTCAACATCGTGAGTGTCATGAGAACAAGTTCTATAGATCTGAATTGACCAAGCTAATCCTCCTGCATTAATGCTATTAGCCAACAATGCACACGTAGTTATTACATATAATTACTGCTCTAACAGACACGGGCATTTGAAATATTAACTTTCCCACAGACTCCAAATCTTCAGTAAGCAGCTCTCAAAAATTCAGTATATTAATCATGTATGTCAGCACACTCCTGTTAAATATGCATGCGTTTAAACACCACTCATGTTACAAATTGTCCAACATAATTTAATATAATTTATTACCCTTTAGATACTGTAATTATAACGGCACCTAGGTGCCACTATAATAAATGAAAATTCAATCAACTGGTTTGTAAGTAACCACTATTATATAACTAATTCCACTTTAATTCCATTTTTTAAATTTTCATTTATTTATTTATTTATTTATTTATTTTTTAAAATATATTTTATTGATTTTTTACAGAGAGGAAGGGAGAGAGATAGAGAGTTAGAAACATCGATGAGAGAGAAACATCGATCAGCTGCCTCCTGCACATCTCCCACTGGGGATGTGCCCGCAACCCAGGTACATGCCCTTGACCGGAATCAAACCTGGGACCTTTCAGTCCGCAGGCCGACGCTCTATCCACTGAGCCAAACCGGTTTCGGCTTAATTCCATTTTTAACAGGCGTTCAAGTGAGAATATTTCATAACACAAAGTATAAAATGTTTATAAACTTACTATGTTTTATGACATAGGAGTGTCTAATTTAAAATTAAATGAATAAAAGGTAAATTGATTTTCTTAGACTTAGACAAATAATTAAAAATTAAAATATATAAAGAAATTAGCATACAATATATTGATATCTATAAGAAAAAGTATACAAAGTATGGTTTGTAGTATAATGATGTCATATTTCTAATAAAATACTTTATATGCTTTATAAATTCCCATTCTACATTTATGAAATTATTATAACAAAGACTAGATTTGACCTAAAATAAAGCAAACATAAAACTTGACAGAGGAAAAAAAATTTTCAAATGAAGGTGAAAAATACATTATTAACCTTGGATCACGTTACTCTAAATTTTATGATTAGTATGGTCACAGATCATTAACTTGAGCACAATAATGGGAATAATCATAATAGCCACAGTTCATTTATACCAAGGGTTTACTTAACTCACTGTGTCAGGTACTGTAATTAGTGCTTTGCTTTCATATCTCATTTAATTTTCACAATAATCCAGTGAAGGATATATTAATATTATACACATTTTACAGATGAGGAAGTGGAGGCTTACACAGATTAAATTACTTGTCCAAGGACACAGGGCTTGGCAGGAGAAGGGTCTGACTACAAGTCTATCCTCCAAAACACACAGTCAGTACTCAGCTCCCAGTTCTCCCCTACCAGAGTGACCTTGGGTAAGTCACCTGAAGTCTCTAAAGCTCATTTCCTGTAGCTGCAAAATGCAAATTATATTAATACTAGAGGCCCGGTGCACAAAAATTTGTGCACTCGGGGGGCGGTGGGGGGTCCCCCAGCCCGGCCTGTGCCCTCTCGCAGTCTGGGACCCCTTGGGAGATAACGACCTGCTGGCTTAGGCCTGCTTCTGGGTGGCAGAGGGCAGGCCCAATTCCTAAGTGCAGCCCCTGGTCAGGCTCAGAGCAGGGCCGACTGGGGAGTTGGGGCGCCGGCCCGTCATGCACAGAGCAGGGCGGATCGGGAGGTTGGGATGCCACCCCTAGTCACGCTCAGGGTAGGGCCGATTGGGGGGTTGGGGCACCGCCCCCTGTCACACTCAAGGCAGGGTCGATGGGGAGGTTGCGGCGCCACCCCCTGT